TTTTTTTTTTTTTTCTTCCGTTCCTACAATTAATTTATAAGGAGTAGCCTTACCACGAAATGAACTCGTCACGACATTTCGGCCGGGCAATTAGGGCGCATGGAATAGTAATCGGGTATGACAATGTAAGCAAACTTCAGACTTAAAGAATTAAGAAAAAAACTAGGGGTGGAGGGGATTCGGGCGAGGGTGTGCCCAACGTTGTCTTCAGCTGTTTTGGAGCGAAGTTCAGGGAGCAAGGTAGTCCGGACTTCTGGGTCGCTGGCCGGGCGGGACTAGGTGCAGGGTAAAGAACACGGGCGGTGGAGTACGAACTCCAGGCTGCTGTATTGATGAACTGTGAGACTGGGCGAATCGCTTAACTTTTCTGGGCCTGTTTCTCCCTATAAAATTAAAGTGCGGGGCCGATGACCTTCGCAGGCCCTTGCCAGCTCAGGAACTTCAGTCCTCCTGCAGAGATGATAGGGAGGAGCAGTGTACTACTTGGCAAGGAATGTGGGTTCTGGTCCAGCCTCTGCCTTACTCGGGGTTCACCCACCTCGTAAGTGGAGCCATGTGTACCCCCATACGGGGCCTTGTGAGGACCCCGCCTTGTGATGTGTGGAGAATGTAAAGCGCTGTGCCCCGCGACACATCGCAGTTCCGGCCCTCAGTTTCCTTATCTGTAAAGTGGAGGTGTTGCTAGGAAAGAAAAATAGAGCCGGGAACTGAAAGCTTTCCCGGGGCTCTATATAAAGCGCTGGCGTTTCCGGGACGGCTGGCGGCATCTGGCTGCCCAATGGCCCCAAGATACGGTAATCCCAAACAATACTCGGGGTCATTGTTTACAGCCATAAAACACATTCTGTCCTGAGCTGCGTCCCCCAAGGACGCGCGCGGCTCGGCGAAGCTAGCCATTCTCCTCTCACCCCCGCCGCCGCCCCCTGAGCAGAGCCAAGGCTCCGCGGACCCGGCTGGGCGGATACGCGGTGCTCAGGCTGAGAGGACTAGGGTTATTTTTTTGTTTTTGTTTTCAACCCGGGTCCTGCCCGCCTAGGCGTTTACGCGCCTCTCCCAGCAGGACTGAGTAAATGCAGCCCTTTGACGCAAAACCCATCAGCCCTTTCCCCCAGCGGCAGCAGCAAAACCCTGAATCTGGGGGTGGGGACGGAATGGGGGGTGGAGCACCAGAGAAGAAGAAATCGTGACACTTTCGCACTTGCCTCGCCGTCCCCTTCGGCGCCACGCGAGCCCGGGCCGCCTTAGAGATCTTGGGGGTGCGGAGTCGGGGCGTGGGGAGCTCTGCCAGGGAGCCTCAGCCAGGCCCCCCGGGAGCAGCCTCGTGTCAAAGCGACGCGAACAAACGCCACTTTTGGTTTTCCTTTGAGCGGCGGCGGCGCCCAGCCCCCACCCCGCGCTCGACAATCCGGGTGCTTCTGGGTCTCTCCCACACAGTCCTTCCAGTAATGCGGGGGGGCGGGGGTGGAGGGGGAAAGGGAGCACGAGCTTCCTTCGCGGCCTCCACGGTCCCGGGCGTGCCCAGTCGGGGAAGGCGCCGCCGGGAGCGCGCAGGCGGGCGAGCGCACCCTCGCGCCCTCACCCTCCTCCGCCCTGCCTGCTCCCCGGCCCTTTCCTTTCTTGTGGGTTCCCGTAAAGCCCGGCAGCCCCGAGACGTCTGCAGAGCATCACGGAATCTGTGCTGATGCAAGTCTCTAGCCTCCCTTGGGTGCGCCCCGGCCTGCCTCGGAGCGCTTTGATCCCCGCCTTCCCCGCTCCAGAACTTGTGTTGGCTCCCTCTGCCCGCCTGGAGGCCCGCGTTCTGCAACCGGAGCTCAGAGCTCACCTTTCGGTTCAGCCAGACACAGAGCTGCGACCTGGTGCCCAGCAGATCCGCTCGTGACTGGGTCGAACTACCAAAGCGAGTGTTCATCCTTCAAGCCCACTTCGCTGCCCACTCCGTGTGTGTGTGTGTGGGGGGGGGGAGGCTCCTTCCAGAATTACCCACTGAGAGAGGGTCCCGCTACCTCCTGGAACAGCGCGCTAGGAATGCAGGCCAGCCTTTACCGAGCTCTTACCGAGAAGTGCTCACAGGGATCGTCCCTGCAATAGTCCTAACAAATCATCCTTAAAAAAAAAAAAAAAAAAAGTGGGTATTCCCTGGTTGCAGATCAAAAAAATGAAGTCAAGGAATGTGCGCCCAGGAAAAGTGGTTAGTGAATAAGTGACCCCCATTGCAAGCGCAGCTGGGTCTCTGCCATAGCAGGTTCTTCCCCTTACCCAGGACTGGGCAGGACGGAGCCTGCTGGAATGCCTTGTCTCCCCTTACCCGTCTCCAGAGGGCATGGACTTCATCTGGTGCGTGGCTCTGACTTACACTTACAGGTACTCAGCTCCTCCATTCTCAAACAGCCCAGCCCTGAGGGCTGAAGGGAGGACTGAGGTGGGCACCCCCCGGGTGGGGTGGGGAGAGCATCTTGAGGCTTCTGGTTATCATCTCTGAGCCCTGCCCTGCAGTTGCAGGTTTTCTCTTTTACCTCTCATGCCCATGCTGGCCCCTGACTTGACTCTCACACTGGCCATCCCTTGGGCACGACTGGCTCACACCCAGAGGCCTGGACAGTTCAAGAGGACTTTCACACACACGGCCACTCTCACGTCACACACCGCTCTGCTGACTGCGATGTGACCACGGGGCAGAGTGACTCTGGATTGCCAGAGAGGAGGCTGAGGAACAGAGTGGCCAAGACCGCCCAGAGCTCTCCCAGTATGTGGGCATCCGCACCCCAACTCAGACCTAATCTCACCCAAGTTCATACCCAGCGTTCTCCCGGTTCCCTAAGCTCCCAGCCCCAGCAAGTCAAAAGTAAACTCCATTTCTGGATGATAACAGTCAAGACGTAGCCCCTCCCCAACCCCTCCCCCTTGGCCAAAGGTTGGCTTCCAAGAACACTAAAAAGGGCAAGGAGGTGTGGACATGGAGCTGGTGGACATGGGCAGTCACCAGCAGAGATGCTAGTAACCCAGAGGTGTCGCCTGCATTTCAGGGTGCAGGTCCATCAGTGGTCTTACACCTCATCTCCAGTGGGAGCGAGCCTCAGTGTATCCCACACAGCCCTGGCAAGCTGCTCCTGCCCTCCTCTGACTCCCAGATACACTAAGCCACTACTCTGAGGGCGTGTGTTGTATCCCACAGGCAAAAAAAAAAAAAAGAAGGGTGGGAACCCCTGATTCAAAGAAAGCAGCAGGGGGTGGGGGGAGGCCCTGAGTGAATAGGATAAGCGATGTTCACCCCCTCTCTAGGGGCCTGCTCCATCCCCCTTTAAAGTCCAAGGGGGCTCCTCCAAGCTTAGGTATGTATCTGAGACGTGACTGGTTCCGTCCATGGCTTCCATTTCATGCACAGGATGAGAAAAAACTAAAACAAAGAGACAAGCCACTCTCCAGGCAATCCCACAGCCCTAGTGAGGCTGGGTGGTGGCTGCCTGCCCGAGTGTGGGAAAATTCATCCAGCTGTGCCCTGAGATAAGGGCACTTGATTTACTTTATTCCACACTTCGATTAA